AAGAAAATTGTCACAACCATATATGCCAAAGGATACAATTAAAAAAGTGAGCACATATGAAAAGGACAAATCAAATTTCAGAACAGAAGGGGAATTGGGGGGGGGGAGGTAAATGTCTGTGAGCTAATGATATTAGAGGTGATAATTGGGGAAGCTATCATCACCTAATAAGCCATCTTGTTAGTCTTTAAAGTGCTACATAGTCCTGTCTTTTGTGGCAAAGTTGGGTATTAGAGGCACTGTTTTGCAGTGGTTCTGATCCTACTTGTTGGGACGCTTTCAGAAGGTGTAGGTAGAGGGCTGCTATTCGACCCTGTGGTGATTGTGCTATGGGGTCCCACAAGGTTCCATCTTGTCTCCTTTGCTGTTTAATATCTACATGAAGCCGCTGGGAGAGGTCATAAGGGGTCATATGTAGATGAGACCCAACTCTATTTCCCTGTGATATCAGAGCCAGGTGTGGCGGTCACTGATCTAAACCAGTGTCTGGAGGCGGTGATAGTTTGGATGAAGTCAAGCTGAAGTTGAATCCAGATAAGACTGAGGTCCTGTGGATCAGGAAGCCATCTGTTCGGGAATGTGGCCTTGTTAGGGTTACACTACCCTTGAAAGAACAGGTACACAGCTTGGAAGTCCTCCTGGACCTTTTTTTACCATTTGAGAACCAGATTTCTTCAGAGGCCAGGAGTACTTTCGGGCAGCTTCATCTGATTTGCCAGCTGCATCCTTCCTGAACAAGCATGACTTGGCCATAGTGATCCATGCTCTTGTTACATCCAGACTGGATTACTGTAATGTGCTGTATGTGGGGCTGCCTCTAAAGAGCCTTCTGAAACTTCAGATGGTCCCAAATGCGGCTGCTCAAGTCGTAACTAATACCCGTTATATGGAACACATTATGCCAGTGCTTCGGCAGCTGCACTGGCTTTTTGTATGTTTCCAGGCGCAATTTAAGGTTTTAGTTATGACCTATAAAGCTCTAAACCGGTTGGGTCCAGGGTATCTGAAAGACCGTCTTCTCCCATATGAACCTTCCCAGGGATTGAGGTCAGCTGGGAAGGCTCTGCTTTGTGTTCCCCCACTTGTGGAGGAAAGATTAACATCTACACAGAACAGGGCCTTCTGAGCTTTTGCTCCCAGGCTGTGGAATTCTCTTCCTCAGGATATTCGCACATTGCCAATGCTAGCATTGTTTTGGTGTCAGCCTAAAGCCACCCTTTTTACTCACGTTTTATTAATGTTTGAATCTATATGTGTATGTTCCTCTTCTTGATAAGTTTTAGCAGATTTTATGTCCCTCTGGGGTCTCGTATTTAAAATTATTATATATTTGTATTGTGCTTAAAAAAATTTGTAAGATGCCTTGAATATTTTAAATAGAGAGGTGGGGTAAAAATATGTAATTAAATAATTAAATAAATTAATAAAATAAATATCTGAGCAGTGTCATATATTAAATCAGGTAGCATTGTCTCTCTTACCATTACATTCAGCATGACACTTTTAAATAAACCATGTTTTAGATTATGGTTACTAACACAGTCTTTGTTAAAAACAGCAATTGAATCTGGGGTTTGGATCCAAATAATGAAACTGAAGTCAGGCAAAACTTCCAATGACTTTAATGTGAAGAGGATCAGGCCTTTAATCAGCTAATCTCATAGGGTATGTCTACACTACAAAGTTAGTTCGAACTAACTTTCATAGGCGCTACACTAGCGCTCCGTTAGTTCGAATTTAATTTGAACTACCAGAGCGCTTAGTTCGAACTAGGTAATCCTCATTCCACGAGGATTAAGCCTAGTTCGAATTTACTAGTTCGAATTAAGGGCTGTGTAGACCCTTAATTTGAACTAGTGGGAGTCTAAGGCTTCCCAGGTTTCCCTGGTGGCCACTCTGGCCAACACCAGGGAAACTCTATGCCCCCCTCCCGGCCTCGGACCTCTTAAAGGGGCACGGGCTGGCTACGGTGCCCGTGCCAGGTGCAAGCCTGCCAGCACCCAGCCAGCAGACCCTGCACCTGGCACGGATTGAGCCAGCCACCCGATGCCCCCCAGCCCTCCCCCTCTTCCCGGGACCAGGCTGGCGGCTCCCGGGAGCTTGCCCAGGACCGCAAGAAGCGGGCACCTGCCTGGGCTAGTGCGGATATCGTGGACCTTGTCCACGATCTCCACACTAGGCACAGGAAAGTGGCCGGCCTGGGGCGGGG